GGTGCCTGTCCCATACAAACATGTAACACAGAACCACCTCCGACACACGCACGCATTCAAGGGCGAAGACAAGAATCACTCGTTACAGTTCTAAGCACGTTAATTATTTGAGTGTGTGCACATGGAGTTACACAGACCCCAACTGTTTGGAAATCCTCCATGCCACATGCGGATCCTCAGAGGCTTTGTCTTTTTAAATATTTTAGGCATGTACAAGCAACAATTCCCATATATGAACACTTTCCAAATAAAAACTTTTGGATGAAATATCTATTGGAGGCACTTAACTCACATTACTTCTTTCCCACATACCAGTGAATCAAATACCGACCAACCATTAAAACCAGACCTATCGCGACTGGGCTACACAAGCAAGCATCCCTCCGTGATATAGCTGGGAAACCCCCGCGAGCCGGCCCTCACCCTCCCGATCCCCCGTGCTCCTACCACCCAGCGCCTTTCTGTGGTTCAAGGCTCAGCGATGAGGGGATGGGACAGGGCTTTCGGGACCGGTCGTCCCCAGCCGTGTCGGTGCCGCAGCTCCGGGCTCCCCGCAGAGGCTGCAGCGCCCGGGGGAGGAGCCTGAGCAGTGCCGTGCCGCAGCCGGCACCGTGCAAGGGGATTTTCAGGAGTGCTCTTTGCTTACGGCTGTGCCGTGGTTTACACCATCCTTGGGGAGAAGGGTGTTTTCTAGCCTGGGTGCTGCTCGGATCACTCCGACAGTGATGGGACAGGTGACATCCCCAGCCCCACAGAGCTGTGGGTCCTGGCCTGGTGAGAGCCCGGGCCATGGGGTGGGAGCAGGTACCCTTGGAGCAGCACCGTGGCTGGTTAAACGCTGCCAATAAACCTAATTCATTGGCCTTAGGCAGGGCAGATGTAGTAGTAAAGCTCTGGACCACTGCAGGATGAGCTGGGTCACATCCGTGGAGAGGAGCTGGGCACCCATGGGTGTTCACTAACAGGCAGAGACACGATGGCCCTTCCCCTCTCTACGCCCGATGGGATGCAGGGTCCCAGGAAGGTCTCATGAGTTAAAAAAACCCACCAAACAAAACCCACTAACACCCCACCAAAACACACGCCAAACCTCAAACAAGGCTCTCAATGCACAGCGCTGTGAGAAGTGCAGCTCTCCATCTCCGAGACGCTTTGTGAAGTTTATCCAGTGTGCTCCTTAGCTGGATGCCGAGGGACCCCCGCACGTAGGGGTGCTCCACCGGAGAGACCCGGCCGGCGACCAGGCAAAGGCCAAGCTAAGTAACGCGAGCCATAAAACCAACAGTACAGTTTTATTTTGCACTTCATACAAACGGCACCTTCCCCACGTTTTACAGAGTTAAGCAGTGTTACCTGGCGATGCGGCAGCTCCTACAAACCCCATAGTGTGAGCGAGGTGGCCTGAAGCCAGGAATCAGCGTGCCCCGGGATGGGGTTGTGAGAGGTGGCTCCGGCTTCAAGCTCCGTGGGGGGATCAAATGAGTTAATTACTCCTAAGAAAGGGTATCATGAGACAACAGGGTGGAAAAGTTGGTTTGTGGGAACTTGGTTTCAAATTAAAAGAAAAGCCCCGTGCCCAGCACTCCCAGTGCTGTACCGATGCAGCAGCTGGGCGAGACCACCAAGGACGCCCCGCCAGCAGCCCACTCCCTTGGGTGTTCAAAATGAGGGCAATGAGACAATCGATGAATTTCTACGGTGTTCCCTGTGCCAGGGCTGCAAGACGCCCGGCATCCCCGCCGGACACAACCGCCGCGCAGATGGAGTCGAACATGGGACGAGAGCTGCAGGGAGGGACACGGAGCCCCAGCTGGCAGCTCCGACCGTCTGCCCTGGAAAATGGGAAAAGCTCCCCGCGCCATTCATGTCCTGAGTTTTCCGTTGTGCAGCCAGGCTGGATTCAGTCCTGGCTTTGGGTGAAGCCTGAACTTTCAAGTTACGGGCACCAGAGCTGGGCCCAGCAACCTGCAAGGTTAACGGAGGAATTCAGAACAAATGCGTCCGATGATGGCAAACTAACGAGCTCCAAGGAAGCAAGGGCCTGCAAACAAGGGCAGAAACGCTTCCCACCTGATTATTGTCAGTCTCCTCACCACCTACAGTTCTCCCAAGTATTTCCCTTCAGATGGTCCAACCTACCGAGCAAGGCTATGCAAATGCAAGAAAAACGAGGCTCAGCGCTGTGATAACAATTTCAACGTGTTTCTTGTACTTGAATAATTAAAAATCCTGATGGCAGGAGGAGAGGGAGGTGGATGTTCTGCTGGTAGCAGGAAGGCGCACGGGCAGCATCCCTGGGGCTGCAAGGCGGTACCCGGCGGGAGGGACCAGCCCAGCCTTGAGCCCTGCCGGGAGGCTGCCGGGCACAGGGCAGGAGCTGCTTCAGTCCCTGGAAGGCACCGCACGGAGAGCCCTGGAGGTCTGGGCTGGGACTCCTCCAGTCTCAGCTTTCTCAGACCCCTGTTACGGAGAGCCAGAAGGGGAAGGAGTGCTTTGGCCATGGCCCCATCTCTCGTTTTCCTTTTCCATGGAAGGGAAGCGAGCACAGACATTTCTTTTTCTCCCCCACATCCTCCCTCCCTCAAGCGAGGAGGAGGAAGGAGGCTGTGGCAAAGCAGAAGTAACCTCGTGGTACCAAACACACGGCTCCCATCACCACCCGCCGTGGCACCCAGCAGCACCGCTCTCTCTGTCCTCCAAACACTAACGTGAAAAAACCCCACATTTCTCCAACAGAGCAACATCCCAAGATCCTCAAAAACTTTTCCCTGTCAAATAAAGTGGACAACAGACCTGGTTGAAAGCGCAGCCTTGGGATATGGGTATAAATCCGAACCCGCTGCCTCTGACTCAGGGCGCACAGCTGGGCTCACAGCTGCTCCAGTTACTTCCCAAGTGCCTGGAGGGATTTTATCACCAGGTCCCTGCTGGGAGCCAGACCCAGAGGGCAGCAGCCTGGGGATCTAGAAATAAAGGACTACAAAAATAGAGCAAAAGCTGGGGAAGAGTCAGAACGGCCAAAGCAAGGATAGCCGTGGGGCAGGAGCGTGGGAGGTGGGAATAGCCGAGGCGGGCTCCGTGCTATTTCAGCATCCTTAAAAGGTGTGCTCGGGTGATTAGAGGACAGAGAGCAACTGAATTGGGAGTGAAAGAAGGAAGAACAAAGCCTCGTCGCACGCTCAGTGCGGAGATCTCTCGGGGAGCTCGGATCGGTGTGTGTCAGCCTCAGACAGCACTGCCCTGATCCGGGGAATTTCACAGCAATTGCCCTTTTAAGAAACCACCCTTCCTCAGCACAGCTGCTGGGATGGGGCCGAGCCGGGGACCCTGACCCATCGGTTCCCCACCCCAGACTCGGTTTTTAATCGCTGGGGCAGTCGGAGGGCAGGAGACCAAGCTTAGGATATAGGAGTCAGCTTCTTTTGTTAAAGTGCCTTATATTCTTTGAGCTTTTAAAACATCTTCCTTGCCATTTCAGAGAGGGAGGCAAAAAAAAAGGAATACTGGTTTTATATGAAACAGAGTAGAGAATTAATCAATATTTACACAGATCTTGGATAAGGTTATGGCACAGACTAATAACCCAACACAGCAACCCGAAAAGCAGAGTGTCAAAAAGAAGGGAAAAACCTGTTCGTATGCTTTCAACACCATCCCCCGGAGATCCCAAGTGTAAACGGTTTTATCTAGGAAAAGGCATTTTAACTTGGGCTTTGGTAATCGGGGTTGATTACAGCCACATGGCGCGGCCGGCGGGGAGGACGTGGGTGGGCGCGCGGCCGCCCGACCTCTCCAGAGCCCAGCCTGGGTTTAGACAAGTTCAACTTTAGCGTTTGGATAAACAGCCACCACGTCATATCCCTCGGGGGGCTTAACCCTCTCCTTCGCGTGCGTCTCGCAGTACAGCTGCTCTTCGATGAAGAAATACCCTCGCTGCTTCAGGTTGAGGCCACAGTCGTCGCACATGAAGCACTCGGGGTGGTAGAGCTTGTCCCGAGCTTTGACGATCGTGCCCCTGGCGAGAGATGGGGAGAGCTCGGGTGAGGTGGAGAAACGACGAGCATAAACAGCTTTTCCTGCTGCCTCGAGTAAAACGGGGTAAGCGAAGGAAAGCGGCATGCGGGGGCACGCAAGGGTGTTATCATCGTGGGTTCACACCCCAACATCTCAGCCCGCCCAAAGCTCCCACCCTGCTCCAGGCACGGCTCCGCCGTATTTCTGTGGGAAGGGATGCTCCACTCCCATCTGTCCGCACCCCCCGCGGCACTGCTCCACGGTTCAGTGCCAAGCGGAGCCTGAAATATCTCTGCTCCGCCTGGGTCCGAACGTCGGGATGCTCCAGGCGCTGCTGGCAGGGCCGGGGCCGCGCACACACAGGGGCTATGGGTTTTGGAGCGGAGCCCCTCCGGGCACAGCACCGGCAACAACACGGTTACAGGCGTTTGCGGAGCAGACTCTCAGCCAGCAGATCTGGCTTGAGCAGAACGTGAATTACAACAGAACATAAATTACAGCACAATGAAGCAGAAAAACGCCTATGTTCTCTGAAATCAGACCCAACATCCATCCGTCGGAGAGTAACTCTTCAACAAACACACAAAAATAATCTGCAGACCTCTTCTACTTGACCCGCGAAGCATTTCTCCCTCCGTAAGGCAGAGGAAGAGTGCCAGGGCTGCCAGCACTGCTCATAGTCCCCGGGCAGCTACGATGGTGAGCAGGGCAGAAACCATCCCATGAACCATCCCTCTTTTGCTGCAAGATTCCCTTAAAAGGGGCAATGCAAACCGTATTCCTCAATTCCAGGTTTTTATACGGTTAGCAAAAAAAACCAGAAAGGGATTCAAGGTATCCTGCTATAAATTCCAACCCGCATGTCCGGGAGGACCTGGCCCAGCCGCGTCCCGGCGTTACCGTCCCCGCCGAAGCGGAGGCTCCGGTGCGAGGCGACACTTACACGATCCCGTTCCCGCAGCGGGTGCACTCGGGGAGCATCTGCAGCCCGGACATGGCACCCCCAAGCTTTGACACTGGGGACTTGATGTTTCGGGGGTTGCTCAGTTTGTCGAGTTTTTCACCTGCCAAAAATTTTAAACAGACACAGATTGAAAAGTTGTCCTCACCGGGCTTTTTTTTTTTTCTTCTTCTTTTTTTCTCAAGGAGTCAGAGGAGTCTCCACCTGTCACGACAGAACCTGCAACGGGCTTGGGAAGGAATTAAAAAGCAAATAGTGAGACCGACTATCTCCAGAGTCACGCAGCATTTGGGTTCGTGGATGAGCGCAGGACATGGCGCTGACCCTCAGCTCATCCTAAGGAAGCACGGACGGTGGCAGGAGCCCTGGGCTGCAGCAGCAGGTCATCTAGCCGTGTGCTCTGACAGCACCAACTCAGGACATACACCTTGTCAAAAGGCAAAGCAGCCTCAGTCTGGAGACGCGAGATGAATTTGGCTGCAATACTGACAGATAAATAGCAAAAATCTCAGAAAAGCTCCAGAAAGAAGAGATTCTATCACACCAACATTTCAGGTGCACTTGGTAGATCTACCATCAGTCAAAGACACAAAGATGAAAGCCTTTTGGAGAATGAGGCAAATTAAAACAAGCAATAATAGAATTACATGCATTTTTTTCTTCCTAGAACACTCATTTAATCTCAAATAATCTAAAATAAAGCCTTGTGATAGAAGATGAGGTCTTCTGGGGCACCAAGCCTCCTTTCATAAAAGTCCAACGCCGGGGAAGGAAGCAATGAAAGTTTTGTGCATATGAACACCACCACGGCAAAGTTTCCAGTGCTGCAGCCCCCCTCCCTACCGATCACCCACCAACTGCCCTCCTCCTTCGGACAATACAAACACGCTCCTTGCCAACCCCCGGGATGCTGAAAGGCTTCCAGTATTCTCTGCATGGTTTTTCATGGCTCACAACCGACTGGTCTTTTGGGTACATATTGGTCTGTGGTTCTGCTGTGATGGTGACAGAAGGGAAAAGCTCATGAAAAAGGACAAGGTATTCCACTCCATCAGCCGACACAGTTTGGAGAAGCACCAGGGGAGCTCTTGGACGAACAAGCCATTCTTCAGCCTTCCGACTTCCTACGCTCCCCGAGCTTCCAGGGTGTTTCAAGTCCATGGTCAATCTTAAATGTGTGCTTAGAGCTCGCGACGCCCAGGAGCTCTCAGCAGGGGCACAAGCACTTTCTGACCCAGGTGTCCATACGCACTGCGCCGGTTTTGGAAACTTCCACTTGGATTTTGCTCTGAAGTGCCCTCCACAGCTCCAGGAATGTCTCTGCCCTTCCTAAAGTGAATTGTTACTACCTGGACCCGGTGCATCGTCGCTGGCGGTCGCTCGCTGATCCCCTGCAGGTTCACATGGTAGGTTTTGATGGGCATTGCTCAGCAAAGCTCCCTTCCACGGAGAGACCCTCGCTCCCCCGTCCAGCACTTCTCGGGAATACCCGCTGTCCTGGGCTCAGCCAGGGAGGAGGGAGGACGCCCGACCCTAACCCCCCTCGGGACGCAGAGGCACCCCCGCAGAGCAGAGCCCCTGATCCAGAGACCAACGCTGCCAACGGTTCTAGCCAAGCGTGTAAAACCAAAAGGACTAATTTCCCACCAAACCTCGTTTTCCCAAGGTATAACACAGTGTCTGGAGATGCTGAGAGCCTCGATACGTGCCAGACTGCCTGCCCAGGAACGGGCCGGGGCTGCTCCACCCCGGGGGCCCTCCAAGCGCTCGGCCAGCTCCAGCCAAGCCTTGTCGAGTCCTTCCGCTGCCTTGCTGGGAATAAACCGAAACAACTGCTCAAGCGGTTGGCTTCCCCCAGCGTGAGATACGGCGTGCTCAGACTAGACATGCTCATCTGCCAACACTGAACACTTAAGCTGTCACAGGCTCTCAGACGGAGCGCTTGGATAAGCTGCTTAAAAGGGGAGGGGGTGGGGAAAAAGAGATTTTACAGGAAAACGAACCCTGCAGAGAGGGCTGCTTCCCATCTTCCCAAACGATGGATCATTTCCTTCTATTTACCAGCCCACACCTCATCGTAATTTATGGTCCTCAGCAAGGCAGCAAGATGTTTTAACTCCACAACCCTAACCGCTGCCGTCCCCGTTTGTGGCTGCAGTGCTCATCCTTCCCATGCCCAGGGCACCTCCGGAGGCCACCGCTGCGGTTCCTCCAGCCTCCACCAGATCCTCGGCACGAAGCGTTGCTCCCGAAGGGTGCGGGATGGGGCTGGCGATGCTGAAGAAAATACGGCTTCCAGTAGAAACACCTTCCACATGAAACAGGTTCTTGTTGTCCGAGACACCCAGCTCCTCAGGAGAGGACATCTTGACTTCAAAAGGACAACGCGCAGCAGGCTTGGGCCAAAATGTTTAGTTTTAGGCTTGAGAAAAAAAGGAGCAGGAGTGGAAGGTGTAAAACAACCCAGCAGGAACACTTCTGGGGATTTAAACCATGCTAAAACACCACCGAGCTTTATGCCAGGAGAGATGCTTTTCACCTCATTTCTCATCCCTTACAAAATAAACAGACAGCGTCCTAACGACCGGGACGGGATCCTGCAGTCGTGCACATCCCCCCTGCCCGCCGCATGGCAGGGCCCGGGGGAAGGGGTGGGATGCTGAGCCCCGGGACGTGACCTCCCCAGCCCCTCCCAGGCTGGTTGGTACCCAGCAGCACCCGCCCCGGCTCCAGTGGTGATGGGCTGGTGCCAAGGAACTGCCGGGATGAGCAGACACCCAGGAGCGGCCGGGACAGTCCCAGGGCCCAGGGACTGTCCTGGCACCTCTTTGTCCTCCCTTTCCCCCCCAGCCCACAGCCTTTTCTTTCTCCCTTCCTCCCAAAGGGCAGCGCGGGGCTTCTGCTGCCCCAGGGCTGCGGGATGCGAGGGGAGGCGGGAGCAAAACAGCAAAGCTTCAATTTTGTTCCCCTTCCCTGGCACAAAGACGGGAGGAAAGCAGCAGCGTTGTTCATTGGGATTAACACAGTCGCTTCCTATTTGCTTCTTCTTAAGGAGGAGACCTGGGGGTGCATCTGACGCCGCACCGGGAAGCTGCTCATGCTTGCTCTGGGGAAGGACCTGAAGGTAGAGCTGGAGCCTGGAATGAACATCGCTTGTCCTGCCAGCCTAGGAGGGGCTCTGGTATTCACACCCAGTACTTCCAAGGCCGATCCTATCTCATGCTTTGCAGACATGCCTCAGTACCACCGAGAAAACTAAAATTGGTGGAAGCTCTTGATGCTCAGAAGTTACCTGCGATCGTGCTTCTTGTGAAGCAAGAAGCAATATCCTTCCAGGCAAAGAACAGGGTTCTCCATCATTTCGTGTGCACAGAAATTGAAGTGCAACAGCCTGACTCGCTACCTCGCGCAGCTTCACAATGAGATTTCCAGCGGCTGGTGTTTTCCCATAAAATCTAAGTTCCTGGATTCACATGATCGGAGTACGAGGCTCTTGGAAGGAAGCAGAAAGAAGAGTCTTGCCCCTAATGACTGTAAAGCGAAGCCTGAAAGTTTGAACATAAAAGCCCCAATGGACGTAAGGTTGAAAGGCAAATAAAAAGAAGCTGACTTGTATGGTTTGGGGATCTTCTTTAATGCTCAGAGTTGGCTCCTGCCTGCGCTAACGACACAGGCAGGAAGCTGTGACAGACCTGAGAAGTGAGCCAAGAGCTCCTGATCTCTATCCCGGCGCTGCTGAGGACCATCCCACGTCCTTATGCAAATGCCATTTACTTCAACAGCCCTGTGGTTCTCCACCAGCGATCTTACACAACCGCTCGAGGCCGTTACGTTTCATAAACCGTCTCAGGAAAACAGCTGCCATGCAGAGGCTGTTTGCAAATCCAACTTTCACACGATGCTCAAATGAGCCACAAAATGTGGTAAGCCCCCAGATGCCGGCCTGTGTATCTGCACCTCTGATTTGAAACCCGCCATCCCTCACAGGGCGCTTGGACCCTCCCGTGTCCTTCAGCACCGAAGCGATGTGCGGTAAAAAGCCAGAGCAGAGGAGTTTGCAAATCCACCCCATCAGCTCTCGCAGATGGGTCCTTTAGAGGCTTTTCAAACTTCTGGACCTCACCCAGGGAAGGGGAAGGAGGTTAAGCCTGCAAAAGCAACTTGGTGGGTGTGGGGCTACGGAACGGGGTGCGGAGGGGCCCAAGGATGGTTCAAGCCCCGCAGCAGCGCGGTGCCGCAGCCCCGGTCGCAGGGAAGCGCAGGGCTCTCGCTGGGACAGGCTATGGGTGCCAACCTCCTTACCGTTCTCGCCTGCCTCCAACATGCCCTGCAAGTATCGGAAGGACCCAGACTGCTTAGGCTCCGAAACGGGCTTTTCATAATCCTGAAGCATCTTGTAGACATCCGACTCCACGTCAATCCCATTTCTGTTCCGTGGGAGAGACTTCACGGGGTCCAGGCTGTTTTAAAGAAAAGAAAGGCAGGCTCAAGTCAAATACAAACAGCAATTGTCAGCTCATCAGGGAGGTACTGAAACCTCCACATTCCCACAGATCCAATTAAACACCTCGCTGTTCCCAGGCCTCTCTCTGCCCGGAGGTACGCCGGGCCGGGAGCCGCCATCGAACCAGGGAAGTTAAACTGGTTCCCCGTTGGGCTCCGGTTGAGCAACACAGCTGGGGCTGGCCCGGTTACCAGATGCCTTCGGGAAAGAGGGCAGCTGCTTACAAGCACAGTAAATTGCTCTGCCACACACGGAATTCATTGGGGGGGAAAAAAAAAAAGGGTACAACAATGCATTTCATTAATTAGGTAGGGCCAGGGGATCCACCCACCCCTTGGATGGCTGTTGGGGCATCTGGCACAGCCGCGACAGCAAAGCCCCTCACCATCCGCACGTGCCTCTTTGGAAGTTAGCGGCTCTGTAGGTGACTGCATCGAAAGATCCGTTTGCCAGACACAGCCCACAGCTTCAATGAGAAAACCACCCCA